ATGACAAAAATCCAAAGTTTTGGACTTTGTGGAAAAGTTAAGAAAATTCGACAATGTTTGATCAAAATTTTTAACTTTCTAATTAGGTTCCTTAAACGCAGTGCCAATTGTAAGTAGCTGCTACTTACCATTGATTTTTGGCAATTTATTTTCTCCATGCAAAAATTTAACAAAACGGGTAAATCTAAAAATCAGGATTTCATTATTCCCCTTTCTCTGTCCCTCTTAAATGCAACCTTTTGTGAGGGAGTATCAAGCGCAGCAAATGGCAAGTAAATCAAATTGTGTAACTCTACTTTTCACAATTTTCGAGATTTTCAGTTTACCGCGTATAATCTTTTATATTATTTTAATAACATTTAAAGTATGTATTGTTTTCTAAAAAAAATTCCGAATAATCTTGTACCTTAGCAAAAGGTGCGCTTTCAAAATATTAAAAATAATTTTTAAGATAAAATATTCTACGATCTTGAGCCTAATCTTCATTTCAACGACATCTTAATTGAAGGCACATTAGGAAAATACGTCAAAACCAGCAAAATCTTTTTGTAAATACTAGTCCTTATAACATTACATATACTTGTAAAATTCTTCAAAAACATTTACTAGAAGTGTGTAAAAACCTGATTTACCATTTTTAATGAGAATCTTCCTTGTAGTGAGAACATTCCGAGCGAGGAATCAAATCAACTTTTTTTTGCAAAGGTTTTGATAGTTGCTTTTACTTAATAGAAGCCTTCTAAATTCAATGGCGTCCACAGTTTTGCCGATTGGCTTCACTTTTCGAGATAGCGGTGCTCCTTCAGTTTTGAAGTTATTTTACTGAATTTTTGCAATTTTATTGAGCTTGAGGTCGTTTTTAATTGTAAGGCGAACTAAGCACAGTGCGTAGGCAACTGGCTGAGTCAGCTGGGGTCGTTGGATCGAATTCCACTGAAGGAGTCTGATGAGGAGATGTGGTGATCTCCAAAGTAGCTATCACTTCTACGATTTTTATAAATTATTGTTACTTTTCTACAATAGTTTTACATTAGAAACGGCCTTAAGCTCAATAAAATTGTTGAAGAAAATGTATTACACTAATATTTATAGTTTTATCAAGAGATTACGACAAAAAACTATATAGCCACCATACACTGAAAAAAAATTTCGTATAAATACTACGAAAAGCGTTCGTAGTCTCGGTTTTTGTACAACATATGAAATTTTCGTTCATAATACGAACACATTTTTCACAACGAAAGAAGATTTTACGAACCATCCGTAAATATAACGAAGGGAGTTTCGTAAGGTTTTTTCCAGTACAATTTATGAAAACTTTCGTTTAGTTTACAAAACTCATGCGTAAATTACCGAAAAAATCTCTGTACCAATAATTTTGTATATTGTACGAATATTTACGTGTAGTTTTAAAATATACGAAATCTACAATTCTGTATTCGTTTTATTTTTTAAATACTTTCAGGCATAGTACTAATGCAGAAGGGATATTTTGCGTCAAGCGGACAGTGAAATGGGTGATGCTTTAGATGCTTCATATTTTGGGTAATTGTAGCTGTGTAAAATATGAAATTGTGTGCATATATTTTTTTTTATATGTATAATGGTTACTTCTCGAGTTATAGGCTTCCAAAGAAAAGCAAAAATTTAAATTAGGAGTTTTCTAAAGTATTTTTTCGTATTCAAAAAAATTCAAAAAATTTTTAATCTTGGCGATTTAGTGAGAAAATTTCTCACTTTTTAAAATCCGAAATCAATTTTCCAAAATAATTTTCTTTTCTGTTATACCACACCGGAAGTGAAAATTTAAAAACAAAACTTGAGAAACTTCCACCAACTTTATTTTTTTATTTTTTTTTAAATAGCCATATATCCCAATTCTGTATCGGTGACAAAAATGTTTACTGACAAATTAAAAATGTTTCATATATTTTTCTGTAATAAAACCTGTGGCAAGAATTTTTCACTGATACAGAATAGAGCCGTTAGATATTGGCTGAATTTCTTTATTCATTCTGAACGTTTGGAATATACTTTTTTGTTTATTTATTCTTAAGAACGTTCCTGATGATATGTTGAAGTATATTTCAAACGTATTCTGTTTATTCCGGCTGTGAAATGGGTTTATCCGGAATGTATAAAGAAACGCAGCCATTGTTATAATACTCTAAAAGTTTTAGAGTGTGATCTGCATTAGTTTGGGAGGTACATAAATTTGTTCACATATACCTCGCACTAAGTATGATGCTACGTGCAGTTTAAAAATTGGTTTGGCACCGACCGCTTCACCATCTCCACTCGAATTCTGTCTGACGGTTTTGTAGACAGTTTGTGTGAACTTTGGACTTTTTTTTCAATACGAAAAAATACTTAAAAAAAAACTAATTTTAATTTTTACTATTCTTTGGGAGCCCATAACTCGAAAGGAACCATCATATAAAGAAAAAAAAAATGCACACAATTTCATATTTTACACAGATACAATTACCCAAAATATGAAGGAATTCTAAAGCATCACCCTTCTCTCCTTGTCCGCTTGACGCGTAATTCGTGGATTTTTTATAAATGATCTACAAGGCTTGAAATTTTACTTTTCGTTTTTTTTAGATAGTTAGCTATATTTTCCAGGGACCGAGAACGCTTCAAAACCAAAAGCGAAATAAGAACAAAACTGTCTAGACTCTAGAACGTTCTCAATGCGAATTATATAAGCACAAAACCCGGTGGAACGTTCCCAAATAGAACAAACTGTAAACAATTATTTCGGGAAGTTTTCTAAGAGAAGAAAAAAGGGTCAAACTTTTGGAACATTTTTGCAAAAGAACAAAACAGGAACAAAAGTCTAAGGAACTTTTTCTCGAAGAACCATTTGTGAAATTAAGTCTCAGGACCTTTCTAAAAGAGAACGAAATGGGACCAAATCTTCTCTGAACTATTCAACAAAATTTTTCTCATAGCGTTCCATTAGTTTGAAATATTTGAATATTAAAATCAATCAAAAAAGAACTGAAGCATAATTATGCAAATAAAGTCAACGAAAGACTTACGACACGAACTTTTAAAAATGTTGCCATATTTGTTTCCCCATGAAACGTTCTAGATACTTTCGTTCCCACTGGACACGTTCCCGAATTCGAGTTTCGTTCTCAGTCTATTCTACTTGAGAAAGTACCTGAAACTATTTTCGCAGTTTTTTCTTCGGGTAACTTCGGGACCATAAACCGAGTCTACGAAAAGGGTACGAACCAGATTTATATCTGGCCGAGGAATGCTACTCCAGCAGAACTATCGGAAAACCTTTGGGCGATTACAACGTTCTTACCTAAAATAACAACGGGGCCAAGAAAATTTGTATTTTTCATATTTATATATTTAGTGGATTCTTAAGACGTGTTAACCGTCGTAAAATTTTAAGCCTAACATTCTTTATGTAAAATAAAGCTTAAAATGGTTTTAGAGGATTTCTAACTACTCCAAAACGTTTTAAACTGATAAAAAAAGTGAGTACGCCCAGGCCACACTGGAGAAGTGAAACTTGCGTTAAATACATATCTATTTTGTCTCATAACTAATATACACACATACATATGTATATACATACATACATTTACAATTACATTTATGTTATTCTGTTTTCCTTTATCTTCATTTTTATCTTTATACATCTTTATCGATAACAAAACCGATAAAAATATCGATAACAAAATCGGTGGAAAATTCGATAAAAATTATCAAAATCGATAATAATATTGGTAACAAAATCTATTAGAAACTTGATAAAAAACGATAAAAATATCCATGACAAAAACGATAAAAATATCGATAACAAAATCGATAAAAATATCCATAACAAAATCGATAAATATCGATAACAAAATCGATAAATATCGATAACATAATCGATAAATATCGACAACAAAATCGATAAATATCGATAACATAATCGATAAATATCGACAACAAAATCGATAAATATCGACAACAAAATCGATAAATATCTACAACAAAATCTTTAACAAAACCGATAAAAAAATCGATTATTTTATCGATAAGTCCCGAAAATTCGGAAAATCTGTAAATACCAAAAAAAAAATATAGTTCCCAGATTGAGTCTCTGTGGCTCTCTTTTTATCCTTTCCACTTTAATTACCATTATTTTAATCTTTCTTCCCCTATCTTCATCTTTGCTTTTATCGGTATCCTCATCCTCCTTATAGTCTTCACCTTTATAGTTCCACTTCAAAAATATATACATAATCAGCACCCCCTAAAACCATTTTAACCGCTATTTCAAATACAAATTGAATTGACTGTCAAAACAACAACGTTCTCTCATTTTGATTTTTAAATATGTAATTAAATATGTAATGGTTGGCAACGCGTAAAGTGATTGGATACACTTCTAGCAGAGAACGTTTATAAATTTTATTTATTATTTAATTTTTTATTTATAATTTAATTTATATGCGTTCCCTGCTTGCACCACTGAACCGAAGACACGAGACACATCTTGCAAACTTCCCACTGTAATTTGAATGTTGCTGATGAACAGAAACATTGTTGCTGGACGAGTTGCAAATGTCCATAATAACGAAGT